AATTTGCAGTTTAGAACCCCCCAACACTAGCCCAACAAAAAAAGAAAGCGTACACTGCATCAGTGTTTTCCAGCTTTTCTTCGTTTGGGTTTTTAGAAGCAGCCCTTTGACTCAAACATTAGGACCGCCAGTCCGATCCATCTGCCCCGGGGGCCGCACCACTTGCAAATTGTTTTTTTTTATTCCCCGTGCTTTGCATATTTTCTGTCAACCACTTGTTCATGTCCATTGTCTGTCACAAAAAAAAAAAAAAAGAAAAGAAAAAAAATTGTTTATGTCCATTATCAACCATATAAATAATAAATTTTTTTTAAGAAACTGTTGCCTCGATTGAAAATATAAACAATTTTTTTAATGCTGGTTATCGAAAATTAATATTGACGATTGAACTACCGTAATAAAATTAATATAAACAATCTTTTTTGAAATAAAATTGATGATTAAAAGAATGACTATCTGACATTTAGTTTTTTTAATCCCCGGTACCCTGTGCAGTCAATTTATAGTCACAACTCATAAGGCATTGTTTATGGAAATTAAAATATTTCTTTTAATTTATTTATAAGTCACTTCTAATAAGTTTGATCAATATTAAAGAAAATTTTAAAACTTATTAACTCTATTTTAAAATTTAATAAGTTATCAACTTTATCCCTATTCAATATACATATTTCAATAATATATTTTCTCTCTTCAGCATTTAATGAAGGATAAAAGAAAAAATTTACGATGAAAATTTAATGATACAATTGATAAATATAATTAAAAATTGTTTTCTCTCTACTTTATAAATAGAATCACAGGGAGTATGTGATATTTATTGTCATTGAAAAAACCAATTTTTTAAAAAAAAATTAGTTTTGTCATTTAATTTAAATATATGTATAAAAAATGACCTCTTGCTTCAAGAAGGCGTGAAGTGCCATTGAGTCTGGAGGCTCTTGGCATGAATGACACTACTTTCTATATAGTAATTAATATTGCATCTGTTGATAGATAGTAGATATGGATGCATGGTAGACGATTACCGCAACTGTCGTTTCGTGTTAGGAGGGCCGATAAAGATAAGCAATTAGGCCATAAATCGCTGTTAGTGATAGATCATCTCAGCGTTTCACACAATTACTATAATCATTCACATTTTGTTTGTCGGTGTGCTATCAACTGCTTCGGTAAGTTTAATTTATTGACCCTTCCACCCTCCCAACTAGTCCGCCTCAACCACGCCCCTCTCTCTATCTTCTCCCAACTAATCCCTTTTGTCTATAATCAAGTCACACACACATATATATTTTTACGTTTTAAATGTGTTTAACCAAACTTTCGTGTGAATATTTTCTTTGTGTAATCTAAACCCTCGATTAAATATTGATGCATCTTAAGTTTGTGAAGAGCTAAGTACGTAGGTGAATCAATGTTATCAATATCAATAAAAAAATTTACTGTGGTTGCATGGTTTTTCAGTAGATCATGAATAATGACTCATCTCAAACTCCATTTAAACGGCGGGTCTAATATCAAAATGAAACGCGGTTGTCTATAATTCTGGCCCGTTTCAAACAAATTAAAAAAAATAACATTTTTATTACAAACTTTTCACTGTCCCACCTTAATCATCGATATCTACAAGGAATATAAATTAAAAAATTATAAAGTCATAATTCCGAACAATGCTGATCGTCTTAAATTTTTTGCATGTAAAATAAAAAAAAATCATGTCTGGTTTTATTAGAAACACACCACATAAACACGGGTGATGATCGTTTTAGTATCAAACTAGAGTGGATAATTTCGTATGTTACGTTGCAATAAGAAGTTTGAATAGCAAGAAGCCACTACTTATGACTAATTAAAATTTTGATGGACTCGTAAATTATAAGGATTATTGAATTTTTTTTATATTATTGTATAGTGTATATGATAAACTTAAAGTTCAGTAGTGCATCAAACATAGGTGGGATTGCCAAGGCTGTCATTGGAATCAGAGGAGGCCAAAATTCAGTAATACAAGGAACTTGTGGGACACATTTAAACACGTGATATTCCACTTTTGGCCAATTAACTTCGTATTAACACAAAGCGATTTCCTTCCATCGCCGTATATTATAGCCTCTCTTCGTGTATTGCCAGCTTTGACTGGCCCAGATTAAGCTTTTTGCCAAGCACCCAATATTGTAAGAGGAGTGATGATGATAAGGAGAGTTTGTTACGGATCTAGTTTCGTTTTTTTCCCCTTTCGGCTACAAGACATGTAGTTGTAATTAGAGGAACAATCAAGCAACATAGGCTATAAATGGAAAGGAACCGTTTCTTGCACATCGGGAGAATATTTTACACGACAATACAAGTCCGATCTAACTATTGCATGTCAAATGATGGTTGTACTTAGAAAGATAAATTGTTCTGCGTTGACACGGTTTTAATAATAAAACAAATGTATACTAGGCATCTTAGAAATAATTACAAGTTAAATCTAGTATGCCTGTTTGGATTGATTAAATAATCGATTTTAAACCCACAAAACCATGGTTTTATATAAAAGAAAAAAAAAACCCAAACGCTCTTCTGTTCCATTGATCAATTTTGAGCTCCGAACTCCATTTTTAGAGAAGCTGACTGTACCTAACTTCGACATATCAATTATATCCTTTGCTATACTAATTGCATATAAGAAATTTGAACAATCCAAATATACCCAAGTGTGTAGCTTGTGATTTTTGAAGTGAAGAACCTCCATATGTTTTTTCCTTACAAGAATGCGTACAAAGTGCTCCCCGCTGACAATTGCTATTTGCTTTCTAACCAAGAAGTGCTATATTTTTTTAATCTAAATACTTGTATATATTTTTCCCTTTGTCACACCAACAAATATTTTTTATTATATATTGGGAGATCCGTTTTTATATGTTTCCCCTCTTAAAGTTTTTTTCCCCTAGTATTTTATATTTTTTGTTTACTATTGTTGTAATGCCAACAGACCATTGATGATTAAATTATCAACATTATAATATAATGCAATTTAACTATTAAATGAGTCATTATTGTATATTTATTTGTTAAATATATTAAAAAGAACGTAATAATATTATACGCAACTTTATTAATATTTACACTATAAAACTCATGTTCTTTATGATAATTTACATATTTAAAATTAATTTTAATTAAATTATATAAACATCTTTAATTCTATCAAAATTAAATTAAAAAAATAATATTTAAAACACAATTACTTGTAACATAATGAATTATAGTTAAAATTAATAATATTAATTAATTTTTTTATAATTAATTATATCCAATTGAAATTCAAATATATTGTCACTCTTAGTCAGTTCCAATAATTGATTTCCCATGCAATGGCCCAAAAATAATGTGGCCTCTGATGAGTGAATGGTCATGGCATGACATGGACACGAGTCGTATATAACACATATTAATACACGCAATGATTGCCAATGTTGAGACTGAGAATATTATATGTAGCTAGCAAGTTGGATTTCAATCATGAAGCATCGGTGACATCTCTCGTTCAGAGTCTTTGTCGAGCGCTGACAGTCTTGTGACTTGCTTGGAGACATAATGGGTTCTCGCAGTGCATCATGAGATTGCATATCTATATCTCACGTTGAAACATTTAAATTATCTATCGAAATAATATCTAATAGCTATATTATTCATCGTTTTCAACTCAAGTCACTCCTCCAGGGCAAAATACAATTTTCTCATTTTGTAAAATTCGCTGTCAGCTGTAGCTAGCACGCATGTTCAATTGAATAAAACAAAAGAAAGAATAAGAAAGAAAAAGAATGATATTAGGAGTGGAACAGGCACATGGAGGAAAGGAAAGGTCCAAAAAAAAGAAGGCATGACAGTTTTACGCAATAGGTTCCATATGATGTGGGAAGATGAATTTCATGGGCACGTGTACGGCCGGCCAAAGCACAAATGTGGTTGAGCTTCAATACCCCAGCTCACATGCACATGCCCTTTTCCTTTGCTTCTTTTGGTCAAAAAGGTCCCCCTCCCTTGCAGCTTTTTCCCTTGCTGCCCCTATTCTTCAATGGTGGTCCAAAAACGACCATTGAAATGCAATAAGGAGTTTTATCTCTGCCACGAGAGCAGGCTCACTTCTTTATTTATATTATTTTCCCAACTTCGCTGTGAAGTATTTCAGATGATCATCCTTTTCAACTGCCATTAGCCACTTTAAGAATTATGCCAATATAAAGGGAGATTTTTCAAGCAACGCCTATTTCAATTCAATTATCTCAATTTTATACCTTCACAAATTATTTACTTTTTTCGGTTATATTAAAATGGTTTTCTTATTACACTTCCTAATATTATATTTCTTTTCGGATGTTGACCGTAAATTTCATGAATAGATTCTTGACTTTGATATTTATAGCTAGTCTTAACTCATATATCTTGTCATTCACAACACCAATTAGTTAATAATTTGGTAATAAATTGATGTCGTTATTTGGAGAAAATATGATGAAGGATAATATGCAAATCATTTTAATAATTCATAAAGCCAAAGTAACGTAGACTTGCTGAAAATTAATTTGACAACAACCAAAATAATAAATTTCAACTGGAACAACATGTACGGACATTTAACTATAGCTAATTTGATTTGTTAATAATATTCAAGGAAGTAGGTTTACTTTTAATTTTCTACCTAAAGTGATAATAGTGCCAACTAACTTTTGATATCTTACCCCAACATCACCGTGCTGTAAGATGGAGGATGGAGTTAACGTTCGTACGGTGGGAAGCTTACTTCTGGGCGGGACGAAACACGAAAGAGGGGCCACGGATCGAAAGATATCACACACACACACACACGCACGCACATTAATTATTCAAGAAGGCATGCTCACAAGGGGGTCCATGCAAATTAGGTATAAAATGGTGGGCAGAATGGTCATTTCAGGTCCGGTTAATTAATTTCATGAGTGTCTCCCTTTGCGCGGTAGTCTTAGTTTTTCCAAGTCTAAAAATATACGCAGCAGCGGAAGAAATGCAACTAACAAAGAAGGAGACACCATAACCTCTCCTCCGGTCTGCTCACACCCAACATATTTCAAAAGCCACAGCTCACGAGTCTCCGAGAGCCTCAGGCCATCAACAACGCTCGCCCGCTCACACAGAAACGAGGGACAAACACAGCGAAGCAGCATTTCTGATCTTCTCTTCTGTTTTTCGCGCTCTTCCTCCTCTTCTCCTTCTCTTGCTCCTCGTCTGCCGCAGCAGCTCCAGAATTCTTGATTTGTTTTCATATCTAAGGTCAGATTTACTTCTCCCGATGATCTGGTTTGGGATTCGAGATTGCATTTTCACCACGAGCGAGGTGAATGAATGTTTCAATTTTCTGCCCATTTTTCCCCTCAACGTTTCTCATTGCGGATGTTGACCTTGATTGTCTTTGTTGCCGCTCCTTGGCATTGCACTAAATTCTGACCAAAATTCGCTTTAGTTTTTTTTTTTTGGTCGATTTTCTTGCCCTGCTGTGTTTTATTATTTTGAGTAAAGAAAGATTTGGATTACGGCTCCTATTGTCAATGTGAATTTCAGTCATTATTTAGAGCCTCATTTTAAACGTAAAATTTTTGTCACAATGCTTATCCTGTTATGAGAATGTGTTTTGAATATTAGCTTTTACCATTTTGGCTTAGTTGTTTGAACGCGTTGAATATATTTCTAGTGTATTTCTGTTAAGTTTTTATTTTTTATTTCCTCCCCTTTCTGATACGTATGTAACGTATCCTATATATGGAATATCGAGTTAAGTTGTGTGTGCATATTGTTAACAGACTTAACTAAACAGCCAAAAATGCTCGGATTTTTTATAATATTATAACGTCCATTCATTTTTCAGACAAACCGTTTTCAGAATCCAGACTCTCCCCTGCATTTCTTTGCACATAAAGTTAGACGAGAATGTTCGCCCGAGAATTTTTCTCCATGGTCCCGGAATTTGTTTTTTTTGGTGAAGCCGTAGGTGAATTTATTTCATCAGCTGTAAGTTTCTAGATTACATGTGAAGAAGAAGTTGACAGTCTGTTTCTTGGGCTGGGGACCATCCATGAAAAGTACAAAATTCCAAGGTCTCCGCTAGAGTACAGAAAGCACCGCATTTTTGTGTCAAAATTATTAGAATATTGTGATATTGCTCAAGTACTTCCATTTTCCTCTCGTATTTGTGAATTTAAGATGGCATATAATATTACTTGTTTCCCCTTGTCTATGGCCGAATCAAGCGCCAACCTTTGATGAATTTGTTGCTACAGATAATGATTGGCAGCTGAAGGTTTGAGTTGCTTTTGTGTTCCATACTAGCTTTATGAGACAAGTAGAAATGTCGAATGAAGCGTTATGGCAGCGGAAGGAAAAAAGTTGATGACAAATGATATGCTGGATTCGCGACCTATGATAAGCGATCTCAATTTTATTGCTGGAACAGGAGTTAATAAGCTGAGAAAAACGGGGAAATGGGTTCTATGGTTGGGGAGGAGGCGGTGACAGGTGAAGAGGAGAGAATTTTTGTTTCAGTTCGTATTCGGCCTCTGAATGATAAGGAGCGCGCCAAAAATGATGTGCCAGATTGGGAATGCATCAATAGCACGACAGTCATACACAGGAACAACATTTCAGCTTCCGACCGGTCTCTGTACCCCACGGCGTATACATTCGGTAGGAAACTTACATTTTCATATAGTAGTTTGTTTTATAAAAGGGGGCCTCGAACATCGTGCGCCGCGCGTTTGGACAGAAGGACAGCGTATAGATTTAATTGCTCAGATGAATATTAACATTTGACCGAATCTGAGCACACAAATTTCTGACTTTTATTTGTCAAACGCATGATTCAGATGAAAATTTGCTTCTCTCTTCTGATCTGCCTTGCTTTCATTTGGCCGTAGATAGAGTATTTGGGACCGACTGCTCCACAAGGGAGGTGTACGAAGCAGCAGCTAAAGAAGTTGCTCTTTCAGTTGTCAGTGGCATCAACTGTGAGTGTCTTCTATCTGGATTTTCCTCTTCCGAACTTTCCTGGACTAGCATATTAAAACTTTCTTCGTGTGTCAGCAAGCATTTTTGCATATGGACAAACAAGCAGCGGAAAGACATACACCATGAGTGGCATAACTGAGTACACTGTAGCAGATATTTATAATTACATCGAGAAGGTAAATGGAAGTTATAAACATCGCAAGCATTAACTTGTCTTTCTTAGAGTCATGTGTTTATTAGAGTATTTATAATCTTACAGCACGAGGAACGAGAATTTGTTTTGAAGTTCTCCGCAATCGAGATCTATAATGAATCTGTAAGGGACCTCCTTAGTTTGGATAGTACTCCACTCAGATTACTTGATGATCCAGAGGTAATATCTTGCTTGCTTGTTTCGAACGGGCTTATAGGTGATGTAAATTTTAACAAACAGCGCTTCCATTTAACAGAGAGGGACTGTTGTTGAGAGACTCACAGAGGAAACCTTGAGGGACTGGAACCATTTTAGTGAACTTATTTCGTTCTGTGAAAGTAAGGAAGGCCTGATTTATTTATGCTCCTATGTGTTACAAGGATTTTCTTTACTTGTGATTTTCTTCTTTTGTCTCTTGAAAGAAAAACTTTGCGAGCTAGAGGCTTAAAGTTTGACAACGTAATGACTCTACAATTGACTGAATTTTGTAGCTCAAAGGCAAATAGGGGAGACGTCCTTGAATCAAGCAAGCTCCAGATCTCATCAAATTCTCAGACTGGTATACTTTTTCCTATTTTTTTAATTTATTTTTTTGAAGTTATGAACTTTCAGATATTTTGTTTATCATCTAAACATTTTACTAAATAATGCTTTTAGATATTTTGTTTAACATCTAAACATTTTACTAAATAATGTGGTTTTTCAGACAATTGAAAGTTCTGCACGTGAGTTTATAGGAAACGACAAATCAAGCTCTCTTGCGGCTTCTGTGGTATGGCCGATACACTCCGATCAAAAGAAAAATAATGATTGGATAAATACGTAGGACTAAACGAATAATAAATCTACATTATTATTATTATTATTATTATTTTTTTGGCAGAATTTTATAGATCTAGCAGGGAGCGAGCGTGCATCCCAGACGTTATCTGCTGGAACAAGGTTGAAGGAGGGGTGCCATATAAATCGTAGTTTACTCACTCTTGGAACTGTTATCCGCAAACTCAGGTCGGCTTCAGCAAAATGTGTTTCATCATTATCCATCTTTTAGCCTTGGCTCTCTAGCACACGAGATAGTTGTTCTACTCATACTGGCTTGTGGGTGGTGGTGACTCTTTAATAATCACCTCCTGACATGATAATTTCAATTTTACTGACCTAATAGCAGCCCTTGCCATATGTTTCTGCTAACTGACTAAAAGAGAGATGAAGTTCATTTCCCTCCAGGTCTCTCCATTGATTTTTCTCGTGACAGCTCACAAAAACACTAGTGCCACAGGATTTATCTGATTAAACGGTTAACTTTATGATTTTTTTGGCCCTCAGGCACAAACTGACAAACAATATCAAATTAAGGAACTTTACGTTCACCAGAAACATGAACTTGGTTTCTTTCTTTCTTTCACTTTCTTTCAAGCCCCATACTGCAGAGCTCGAGCACTTCAATCACATTTTGGTGTATTCATTTTTAGTCACAACATAGTGTGGCTAAATACTTCAGTATTTTGGGACATAGAGCAGATGACTTCCTGAGACTAGTATATTTCCACAAGTTATTAGATTCTTTTTGGGCGACAAAACTTAATAACTCCTTGTTAGTATATGAAATATTGTGAATCTTTGAAATTGAACTTTATCTATGAATAATGAACTTGATTGCAGCAAGGGGAGAAATGGACATGTTCCTTTCAGAGATTCTAAGCTAACCCGCATTCTGCAGTCCTCCTTAGGAGGCAATGCTAGAACTGCAATCATCTGCACAATGAGCCCTGCTCGTAGCCATGTTGAACAAACGAGAAACACCCTTTTATTTGCAAGTTGTGCCAAAGAAGTGTCGACTAATGCACGGGTCAATGTGGTGGTGTCTGATAAAGCGTTGGTTAAGCAACTCCAAAAAGAATTGGCTAGATTGGAGAGTGAGTTGAGAAATTCAGGATCAGCCGGCCGTGCATATGAATCTACTGCATTATTGAGAGAAAAAGATCTTCAAATTGAAAAGGTGATTACTAAAAATTTTAGACACAGAACTAATTACTTTTTTTATGCTCCAGTATCAGAACCTTTCCTATGTCTTTGACATTCGAGCCTAAATGGTGAAGTTTCTAATAAATTGAAGAAATGTATATATATATATGTTATTTTACTGCATAACATATATGTTACGTTATTCCTCAACAAGGTATATTGTATTGCTCACACTAGTACATGGAATGGTGAAGAGCACGGGGTGATTTAGTCATGCATCCGAGGTATTTATTGTTGTCAACATTTGAGAATAGTCTTAGACGGAGTAGAGAAACAGAGTGAGCTATGAAGAAACGCAAAATTGAGCCACAAAATGCATCTTTGTTGACAATATGTTATGAGTCTTATAGTAGGAGAGCTTCACAAATGAATTAGGGTTTATAAGTTTAAGGAGTTCTTTCACCTAACATGATAGTCTTTTGAGATTAGTTCTTCCTTTAAACTTGTGCTTGTAACACAATACTTAAGAGAATAAGAGTGAAATTATAATCTTACAATAAGACAAGAGAGTCTTGAGAGACATCATGGAGTCTGGTAATTTTAAATTATTTGCGTCCCCTCATATTTACATATATAACCATGTAATTTCCACCTTGAACAAATTTTTGAACTGGTTCGGAACTGCCGGGATCATAAGTAAAAATGAAAGTTTGCCTTCCTTTGCTTTCCATGATATTAAAAATTCAGTAACGTGTAATCCAAGCATGAGTTATCTGCAATTCATGAAGAGCGATGGTATTGTATTGTTTCTGCTACTTATGCGCGATGGGCATAGCTCTTATTTTCCCGGCTGTATATATATATATATATATATAGATATATAAGAACTTTGTTTCTTGTTTCCTCTCCACGTGCAGTTAAAGAAAGAGGTGGCAGAGCTAACTATGCAACGGAACCTTGCTCAATCGCAGATCAAGGATATGCTTCAAGCGGCAGGGGACGATGTGTCTTCGATAGAATTGGTGAGTAATTCCTTAGCTAAAGCATTAATTTTTTTTTTAAAAAATAATTTATATGCCTTTTTAATGTAAATTTTACTGCTTATTTTCCAGGAAAGTTCAGATCTTAAATATCCCAAATTACGCGTGCGAAATTCATGGGACTTGGAAAATCAGATGGGGAAACATAACTTATCAAGTCTTAACTGTATGGAGAGTGTCAGATCTTTCAATGCGTCTCAATATTCGGATGGACACAGTATTAGTTCTGAGGAGAACTTGTTCCAACTTCCTGACTTCGAAAAGAACCTTCTCCGCACAAATCGTTCCCCACGACCTTCATTTACGGATTTGGATGTTGTAGATAGTGAATTAAGTCCAAGTCATATTGAAGAAGAAAATGATGAAAATTTAGAGGAACATTGGAAGGAAGTTAGATGCATTGAGTCAGAAGACATAGCTACTAACAAAGTTACACCCTCAACCATAACAGATTCAAGCCCAAATCCATACATTCACTCTGTTGCGTCCTCTCCAGGTGCAAATACGGATAACTCAGGATTGACAGTGATTGACAATGGAGAAAATGTGGATTTAGTTTCCTCTATGTTAAAGGAAGACAAAGAATCGAACAACTTCCACCAAGATTTTGTTGTCAGCTCTCAGGGGAAAACATCTCCGTGCCTGTCAGAAACGTGTAGTTCTAGAAGCTTAAAGTTGCGTAAAAGTAGAAGCTGTAAAGCGATCCTCATGATGAATTCAGCTTCATTATGGTTTGACAAGGAAGAAATAATTGAGAACAAGACCCCAATTGGGATTGAAAATGAATTCACACCAAGTCCTGGCGGCTTTCAGCAGAAGGTTTATACTCTCAGCTATATTGCCAATGCTGAGAGGCAGTTAAGGAATGATTCTAGGATCTCAGACGGGAATGCTTCTGTCGATGAAGTACTGAATGTCGAAACCTCCATTGACATGGAAAGTGAAGCAAATAGCGCTTCATTTCCTGAAAGAAAGGAAGAGGAAGATCTTTTAAGGGTAAATCAATCGATCGTTCATAAGGAAAAGGAAGATGTTGTCTGCGTAAATCGATCGATCGATCATAAGGAAAAGGAAGTTCTTGTAAGCATAAATCAATCGACTGGTCATAAGGAAAATGAAGATCTTAAAAGCATAAATCAAACAATCGATCCTGAGAAGGAAGATGCTGTAAACGCAAATCAATCTATCGATCACAATGTATGCTTCTTCTGTTCATTTTCCTTCCTTTTTACTATATTTTTCTTTACCCAGCATTGATAGCTAAATGTGATTTATTGAAACTAACTGAGAAGTTTTTACACGCTCTAGTTTAACCATGTTAAGTGGATGGATACACCAATATTAGATTTTTTTTTTTTTGGTCTCCAATATTAGTTTTGAGAACAAAAGCTCGATCCATTTTAGAAATATAAACGGGGTTTGATATCATGAGCTACCTTGCTTAACAGGTTCCAGAGACGGGATTAGAGACCCCCATATCTGTTAAGAGTTTCAAGGATGTTGGTTTGGACCCAATGCAATGTGATGGAGAAAGTCCTTCAAACTGGCCTTCAGAATTTAAGAGGCTCCAAAGAGAGATCATTGAGCTCTGGGACGCTTGTAATGTTTCATTGGTTCACAGAACTTACTTTTTCCTTCTATTCAAAGGTGATTCCTCAGATTCCATCTACATGGAAGTAGAACTGAGGAGGTTGTCCTATCTCCAGCAAACCCAAAGTGATCAGACAATGGAAGATGGACAAACACTCACACCCACTTCAAGGTACTTTTCATCAAGTTGTTAGTATGTTTTGTTGAGAAAGTTTTACCATCATGCCAAAAGAACTAATATTACGATGCATTTGCTACGCAAACAGCGTGAGAAATCTTCGAAGAGAGAGGCAGATGTTGAGCAGGCAAATGCAAAGGCGGCTGTCTAAATCTGAAAGAGAGAACCTATATCTGAAGTGGGGCATCCGTTTGAGTTCAAAAAATAGGGCCTTGCAGTTGGCTCACCGTTTGTGGACCGACTCAAAAGATATGGACCACATTGCAGACAGTGCCGCCGTTGTTGCTAAGCTGCTTGGTTCTGTGGAGCCTAAACAAGCTTTCAAGGAGATGTTCGGACTCAACTTTGCCCCTCGTCGTCCTACTCGAAGATCTCTGGGTTGGACATTCGGCATTAAACATATCTTGTGAATACGATCCTCTTATTAATTTCTACGGCTTCATTTAACATAGATAATTCATTTCCCCCCTCCCACTTATGTGCTCTCTTGTTTGTGAATCTGATTGCTGGTGAATGGTGATTGTAAAGAGTTTTATATAGCATATCGAGTTTTAAGACCAATGCTTTCTTTACTGTCAAATTCAGCTTGGGTTACTGCTAGAATGCAAACTCATGTCATGATTATCTTCCCCCTGAACGTTTAGAGCAATAAATTTAAAGGGTGAGAAAGTGAAGTTCAATATGAACTGAAAGTTTAACTTTATGATTTCCCAAATGTGAACTGCAGAGCAAACGTTACGGCTGTTTTTAATTAACTGTCCATCTCTAATGGTTGTGCTTTTTTTTTTTTGGGTCGAACTAATGGTTATAGTGACAACAGTATATTGATACATTAACTTGAAGCTAGCCATATGTGTAACATCCTAAAAATTTTAAGACTCAAATTTATTTAAAAAAAATAAATAAAAATAAAATAAAATATCTATAATTAAATTAAAATTTAGAATAATTTAATAGAGGCCCAGAGTTTGAATTTTACTAAGAAAAAGTTTGGTTTTATTTGATTTTTAACTATGAGAAAAATTACCAAAGTTGACCCGGGCTTTTGTGCAATAATAAAAAATGTTGGGCCCTTTCTTGTAATTTTCTCCAAACTTTTTGACCAGCAATTTAAAGACCAAAATTGATGCAGAAACGCAGAAATTGAGTTGGAAAGGAAAGGAAAGGAAACGTATGAGAGGGAGAGAGGAAGAAGAGAAGAGAAAGGGAGGGAGTTAGGCTTGGATCTAGGAGTCTTTGCGACCGTTGCGAGCTCGGCTACACGATAGGTAAACTCCCTACTTCAATCCTCTTCTCTTTCTCTTGATTTTCTTCAATTTTTGAAAGAGAAAATTTTTGGATTTTGATCCCAAAGGCTTTATTCTTGTAAGCTTTTGTTTCTTTGGATTCTAGGGAGCATGTTTTGAGTTTCTATATAGTGATCTAATGTTTTGAGTGAATAATTGGATGAAAAGAGGTGTTTTGGGCACAAAATAAACCTTGAGAAATTGGGTTTTTGCTCCTCAATGGTTTAAGCCTATTGATTTAGTTATAATTTTGCTATTTGAGCCCAATAAGATTTAAATTAAGGTTTGGTTTTCATTATAAGGGCTAATGGTGAAAGTTGGTGGCACTAAGTAAAGGTTTTTAATTGATTAAAAAATTATATAAATTGAAAATTAGCCTAGTGATGGCTAATAAATGGTTTTGGTGGTTAAGTGATACTATGTGAATGGTTGGTTTAATATATGGACCATTAGGGTGGAGTATGACTCATTGACCTAAGTTGTGTGGTATAAGTTATAGTCTTCATTAATGCTATTTGTCATGATAAGTGATGTGGATCACTTATATGTTGTAGAAAATTGTTGGTGGAACTTATTGAGAAGTAAGGAACAAGCCGAGCCCTATTTTGTACAAGGGGAACCCTTTTAGTACCAAAGGGTTGAGGTAACAGGGGAATTTATATTTCTTATTACTTTGTTTTAGCTATTTTTGAATAAATATTACTAGTTATCATGCATTACATGTTTTAAAAGATTAAATGTGCTTTATAAGGGGTTATGGGGTACTACTTTGATTATAGTGCAAATATATTTTTTTAATTGTTTAATAACAATGTTTTTATGGAAATGAGATTTATAAATATTATACTACTTTAGAGTGTTGAATGGTCAATACTCAGGAAAGGTAGACAAGAGTAAAAGGCATGATCTCGGTGGGAGTTCACCAATGAGAAGGTGTGGATTTTTGATATTCTATGGCACACTGTCAGTACTCAGTGTTGTCTTACATATTGTGGGCTCAGTGCACTAAAGTGGTTAGTGTATTGAGTGTTCGACACCTCTCAATGGGGGAGGGAATCCAACATATGAAGTGTGAGATTGAGTGCCTAGGCCAAGGTAGCCCTCACATGGAGAGTAAGTCGGGCTGGCTCTGGGAGGGAGTTAGCTTTAACTGCTCAGGATTCACGTCGAAGGGGCATAGGCGGTTCGGTGGATTAGATCATACCTTAGATTATGTTTTGTGCCTGTGGAGGTACAAGTAGGTATAAGGTTTACCTGCGAGTTAAAGAGTGCCAGGGGGCATTCTGTTGGTCATGAAAGGCCATACCGGCCTAGGTCATGCATTCATGCATTTTAAATGGCTAAATTATATACTATGTTGAATTTATTATTCGTTTATTTGATTATGGCTTACTTTGTAATAATCAATGTAAATTTCGCTGTTACTGAAACTGTGGTTGTCTCACCCCTTTCTTTTCAATATTCTAGGTCCAGGCGAAGGATCCAGTGGTGGACGGGGAAAGGAGCAAAGCTAGGGGTTTGCTTGTGATTTGTAAAGAACTGCAACCCCTTTCTTTTGAGCAAATATATTGTAATGTATTTAAGATTAGGGTGCCAGTAGGATATGATTATGTGTGTGTGTGTGAATATGTGTGGATTGTGTGCTTGTGTATGAATTTTTGTCTGTTTGCAGACTTGTGGCTAGGAAACTTGGTTATGGTGTATGGTTTTGATGGATTTACTTAGTAGACTAAGTTTCTATTACAAGCATATCTTTATTTTGATATATATGTGATTTTATAAGCAAATGCAAAGTGGTTGCATTGCAAATGGTGTGCTATGGGAAAACATACAGCTTGGATAGAGAGAGTGGGTGCGTGGGCCCCACAAGGAGCTCTGAGCCAAGTGAAAATGTTTAGCATATGTATTTATATAAATACATGGTATTTGGATTGATTTGTGACCACTCTTGTATGATTTGTGCATTTTGGGGGTTTAGGGTCCATTTTGGGAAATGGCACCCGGGTGGTCAATTTTTGATGTATGGGGGTTTTCCATCATTTGAATGTTCTATCAGGTGTTTTTAATCTTATTTGACGTGTCCAAAGTGTTTCCATAGGTTTGTGACCATTAGGATGGGATTTGGACAATTTTGAAAATGGTTTTTACCAAAAAGCTGCACTTTTGCATCCGGGTGTCCAAATCTTAATCCGACCGTTGGATTTCTCTAAAATTTGGGTCACAAGTAAAACCTTTTATAAGCTTCGTGTGGGCTTTGGAATCACGTCGATCGGATATCGGACGGAGAAACGACGCACTCCGGAATTTGGTCTGGAGGTGCTGTCATGACAGCATTGAAGTGCTGTCATGACAGCTACAGTATTGATTTTATAATCTGCACAAAATTCAATCCGTCCGTTGGATTTTTTTCAAAATTTAGTATGCTAATAGTATTCTTTAAAAGTGACATGTGGGCTTTGGAATCACTCCGATCGGAGGTCAGATGATGAAATGGTGCACTCCGAAAGTTAGTCCGGAAGTGCTGTCATGACAGCTTTTTAGCTGTCATGACAGCGAAAATAATCAAATTTTTAACATGTCTAATTTTAAATCCGACCGTTGGATCTTTTTGAAATTTGGTATACTTATAGTACCCTTTGAATGTGACGTGTGAGCTTTAAAATCACTTTGATCGGAGGTTGGATGGCGGAACGACGCCTCCCAGAAGTTGACTCGGGAGGGTTGTCATGACAGCAATTTAAATGCTGTCATGACAGTATCTTTTTATTTCTCTTTCGTCTAACTTGCTTCCGTGCGCTATAGTTAGAACCTATAATTTTTTTTAAGGTTTTAAATGTTTACTTTGCAATCGTATATTTGCTTAGTGATTTAAATGGTTTGTTTCCTAAGTTGGTTTTAGGATTAACTCCTTAACCACACTTAGTTTATTTGAATTGTGTGATTTTTGGATAACACTCGGGGCAAGTGTTACAATATGCAAACCGGGACAGGGTCTTAGCCGGTAGTCTTTCACGCAGTTCTGTCCTAACTGTCTCGTTATTAGCTCATAAACATTGTGTTTGTATCCAAATTGTAAATTTGGAGGCCCTGACCCAACTCAACTTAATTGGCTTTAAAATAATTATATAAAAAAATATTTTTTTAAAATCTTAGCCATTAAGTCAAGATAATCACCCATGATGAGTGAACATAATGAAGGAAGTGCTTCCTAAATTCAAGGAAAGTGGCGATCATGGGGCTTGGACACTAAGCCAGGATCATCTATAAATAAAGGAGCTCTCTCTCTCAACAATCATCATCAGCATCAACAAACTATCAGTCTCAGACTCTGTGTCTGTTACTTTTTTTTCCTTTTTATCATGTAGTTTTAATCTTTATTTTTTGTTGTAAGGCCGGCATAGCTCGCCACCCTTTTTCTTTAATTAATACATCTCTGCTTATCTGCATCTACATTAGTATTATTCACTTCACATTCTCACATCTGGGTGAATTGCGATAAGGGAGCCTGGGTCCCTACATTTAATTAGAAGTCAGGTTCTTCCATCCTTTTGAGACCTTGCATCTCTGGCACACCTTGCAACACCGCGCCTTTGATTGTTTGTTTTTTACGAACAATTTTTGGCACGCCTGGTAGGACTCGTGTGAAAGAAATGCCTAGAACACATAAGGATCAATATGTTGTTAGAAAGAATAGACCTGACTCTTACGACTCAGAGAATGTGGCTGCACATGCAAAACATGAAGTAAAAGTTAAGGAACATCTCTAATATGCTGTCTAGATCGTCGCAAGAGCAAGCTCCGATTGGCTCGCACCTTCAGAGAATAGATGGACTTGGGGGGCAGTCTCTCAAAGTGATCTTTAACCCAAATATCAATAACGAGGACCGCTATAACATCTCTCAAAAGATAAATGACAAGTCTAATTTAATAGCAAGCTTATTCAGTCACAAGGGCTGAAATCATCAGGGCCAGCATCAAAGGGGTCGGAGCCATAAGAGTTAGAGCCATTAGGGCAAGCACCATCAGGGTTAACCCCAGAAGGGCTGGAGCTACAAGGGCCGGAGTCATTAAGGCCAATACCATCAAGGTCGAAGCCATCGGAGCCAGCACCAGAGAGGTTGGAGCCACAAAGGCTGCAGTCATTGGGGCCAACACCATCGAGGCCAAAACCATTGGAACCAACATCGTTGGGGTCGGAGTCACAAGGGCTGAAGTCATAGGGGCCACAACCAAGAGGCTAGCACCACAGGGGCCGTAACTACAAGGGCCAATATC